AGCTTGACAAGTCAAGAGCAACATTAAGTCCATGTTGATCTGTTTTTTTGATATTGACAGGATTGTTCATAAGGAGTTCGTCTCTCCTGGTCAGACAGTCAATAAAGAGTTCTATCGTGATGTTCTAAGGTGTTTGAGGGAGAACATGAGGAGAAAACGTCCATAGAAGTGGTGCACGAACGACTGGGTACTCCACCATGACAATGCACGATCGCATAAGGCTTACATTGTGCAGGAATTTCTGGCTAAAAACAAGATGGCAGTTGTTCCCCACCCACTGTACTCGCCAGACTTAGCTCCATGCGACTTCTTTCTCTTCCCCCAAGATGAAAATCAAGTTGAAGGGGTGAAGATTTAATGCAGTTGAGGAAATTCAAGCGGAAACGCAGATGGTACTAAACACCCTAACAAAGAAAGACTTCCAGGATGCATTTGAAAAGTGGCAGAAACGCTGGGATCGGTGTATGCGCTCCCAAGGGGACTACTTTCAAGGTGATGGTGCAGAATAAGATCTAGGTAAGATGTAATAGTTTTTATTAATATATTTCGGGAACTTTTGGATTGCACGACGTATTAGTTTTATGATGGTAAGTGTAACAGCAACAACAACAGTGCCTTAGGAGACCCTTTGCATTCACTGCACTACATCATTACTATCAGTTAAGATTTCAAGATGTAATAGTAAGTTGTTGTTGTTGTTGTTGTTGTTGTTGTTCTCCTCATCATTCTTTGACAAAGCATTTTTCATTCTTCTGTATTCTCCAGTATTTATTCTTGTATCTGTTCTTTCATCTCATTGTTTCTTTAATTAGCATCTTTCATTTTTGATGGTTTTTAAATATATTTTCATATATTTTCCTCAGTACTCCTCATAGATTTTAAGATCAAATCCATGAGCCTATATTCTTCAAGTCAATTTCCAATAAACTGAGCATTGCTATTAACCTCTAATATGCTCTTCATCTGATGTAGACTAAGATGTGTTAAGATGAGACTCCTAGCATTGTATTCTTCTCACTCCTTGATGTCTTTGTGCAACTTCATTGATACAATGGGGTACCCAAAAGAAACTGAACTAATTTTTTTTGTGGGCAGAGCTTTTGTAGTACCGCGTTTTGCCAATATGAGCGCATAGAGCTAACATTCCTGAGTCGATAAGCCGACTACCGTTGCTTCAGAAGGTAAGGACTAGTTTCGGCAGAGTTTATAGTGACAACTGTTTTGTGTGATTGTCGTTTTTGCAATGGCCCGAACACATGAAAATGTTGAAAAAATTCGTGAAATCATCAAGGTAGATCGACGACGGACCATTGAAGAAATTGTGGAGCTGTCGGGAGTGACTTGGAGCTCAGTTCAGCGAATTTTAACAGAAGATTTGGGAATGAAAAGGGTGGCTGCGAAATTCATGCCACGACTGCTGACCTATGAACAAAAACAAGGTCGCGTGGAAGCATGCTGTGCTTTGAAAGAAGAGTCCCGAAATGATCAAAACTTTTTTTCAGCGTTTTGCTGATGTTGCTGAGGTGAAGGAAAAAAACGACGTAGGCGCTGTCAAGCATCTTAAAAGATGAATTTAGACAATGTTTTGAAAAATGGAATAAAAGACTAGACAAGTGTTTAATGTAAGTGGAGAGTACTTTGAAGGGGATTGAAGGTTTGTGCTTAAAATTTGAATAAATAAGTTTAAAAAAAATAAGTTCAGTTTCTTTTGGGTACCCCCTCATATATTAATCTTCACACTTCAACACCTTTGTCTCATTATACAGCATTACATGTTTCGGCCTAATTGACCACCATCAGATATATAAGATGTTGGAATAAAGGAACCTGCTGTTCTGTTATCACACTGTTCTGCTTTTCATTCTGTTGTAAAATGCCCTTAAAATATTTTATTTTAGGTTATTTTAGATTATCATGCCGCTGTTATGCACCTATCTGTTGTATCTGTAATATGTGATGGATTATACTGGTCTTTTATTTATAAGATAAGTGTTTTATATATATTCTGTTGCTCTGTCTCTGCAGTTGTGATGTTACTTACATTTTATTCATGTGTTGGTTTATCCTTTTGTGCTGTGTGTAGCTGTTCTGAGTGTTTCTGTGTAGTTGGCTCTGTTTTTATATAGGATGTAGGATGTGTGTGCTGCTAACTGGTTATTCATGCATGCTACATGATTGACCCATCCCTTTGTTCAGTGTTATTTGACCTTTCATAGGTTCAATCATTCTCTTCTTCATTACATCTGTTCTAGTCAATGATGTATTCAAAACACTTGGCTCGTGCCCTCACCAATGAAGGGCTTCACAAAGCCAATGAAGCAGAAATCACAAGGCTAAAAGAAAGACTTCAGTCTGAAGAAAGCATGACTGCTGTGCTGGAGTTCTTCAACAGGAAGAGTAAGATGTAAACACAGCAAAACATCACAAACTCAAATCACTGATATAAGATACTAATGTGATAGGTTTTGGGAGCATTTCCTTTAAATGTTGTCCATTATGCTGATTAACAATATGTCAGTTTTCTGTTCATGCAAATCTGAGCTCCATGCTCATAGAAATATACTTTACAGGGGAATTAATTTTTATTAGAATGGAGAGTTTCCAATTCTGACTTATTTTGGAGTAGAATGGGTTCCACACGCATCATATTTGTAAAGGCATCAAAACTTAGGATTGCTAAATATTTTAGTACTATGTATATTACACTACCCAGTGGGTTCTAGGATTTCTTTTAATGAAGATGGTCAGAGTCTGAATTTAACCTAGTACTATACTTTGATGGCCACGACTACAAAGTCAGAAGAAAGCAGAGATGTTGTGTCAGGTGTGATACATTTTAAATGTTTCAGTGAATTTTATTTAGGTATTTTGTATAGACAAAGGCTTATGGTGTGCCAAGAGGTTAGCCACTGATCTCCATTCAGTGCCAAGTTGAGTTTTATGTTCACTCACTACATGCTTTCACAACACGGTATGTAGATAAAATGACACATAAACAACACTCCAGTTAATAGAAGTACAGAGTGAATTATTTGCTTTTCTGTTGAAGATAAGCCTTCATTTCTCTGCTGTTGAACTTAAAGATTTTGCCATACTGGACACAGCTTTGATTACTGGGTTTTTGGACTCTGTCTGTCATCCAGTATTCTGAAGAAAAACAGAACGTTTTGGAAACTTGATCTAATTCCATCCTTAAGTGAGGGGGTGGGAGACACCTACTCTGTTGGGTCCATTAGAAAAAGACACTTCCAGAGAGCAGGTAATATGATTAAATGGCTATTTTTAGCAGCCAAAACAAAACATTTCTCTCTGTAATAGACCAGCTGAACTGAATAAATCTTTCTGTTGTTTGCACACACATGTTTCATACAATGAGTATGAGTGTCTTTTGAATCCACAGAGTTGTTCACTTTTACTGTTCTTTAAAAATATCAGTTTTATATTTGAGCCGCCCAATATGCAGGCTTTGACTATCATTAAAAGGGAAATAAAATGTTGTCAGGTATAATTATATTTTTTATTGACAGTGGGGTGGGACTAAGTTCTCTGTACTGTGGCCACTTCTGGCCTATTGTACCCACCCCAGATAGGCGAGGGTGATTGTGGAGCAATTGGTGGAATGAAGATTGGCAGGAGAAACCGAAGTACTCGGAGAAAACCTGCCCCATCGCCACTTTGTCCACCACAAATCCCACTTGACCAGACCTGGGATCGAACCTGGGCCGCCGTGGTGGGAAGCCAGCGACTAACCACTTGAGCAGTTGTCCAGTATTTCACATATACTCTGCATATTACATTCTAATTTACATATGTTGAACGAAAAATGTTTTAATTTTGTAGCCCATGTCATATCACAGGTTATGTTACTGGTATTAATGTGTGTTTACTTTAGATCACAATGACAGCTTCTGCAGTGGGATCTGTTTTGGCTAGAAAATTTCTTATCTGGTACAAGTTCCAAGTACTGTATTAACTCTGTACTAAACTGCTGAAAGAATGTGCATGTATACTCAGATTTAAGCAGTAGTTGCATTACTGGAAAACATGTAATACTAAAAAAACATGAACTAAGCTGAAGACTTTCTTGTAGACTCAATGTTAAGAGTTCCTGAAGGGCACTTTTTAATAATGAACTTCCTGAATCCAGTATTTTGGGGTCATTTAAAAATAAAATAATATTGCAGTAACATTGAAAGTACGCTAAACTACATAGCGTGTATTTATGTAATGTGCTTATAATAAGAAAAAAACAATATTTATATTTGACAGAAGTGCCCTTCAAAGAATCACTTGTTGAACTTAATGTAAGATAGTGTAATGAATGTAAACCTTCACCAGCCAGATTTATATATCGAACTACTACAGTGCTGGTGGTTGGATTTAAACCTGGTGATAATAGTATTTTCAGGGTAAACAGTGCGACAGCACACATCACTGGAACCAGTTGTGTGATGCATGGATGGCAAAGGTTAATTTGATGAAGTGGGGTCATGAACAGACTTATGATTCTGAGCCAACAACAGTAATTTGAGATTCTGAGGAAGTGAAATTTCTTTTTGCAATCTGGCACCTACTTCTTGGGTCCAGATGCAAATGAGGAAACATAGTGTGTAATAATAAGGAATGCTTCAAATAATACCTCTTGTTTATGTATATGAAATAAATATTTCATGTCTATAAAGCCATTATTTCTAACCCTTTCTATGCTGAGGATATTGTTAAAAACCTTCTCTTTAATTGTACATTTTATTGGCAACTTACAACATCCATTACCGGAAAGCTGTTAGTGACCGTTTAAACTGTCAAGAGACAATAGGAGAGGTCACACAAGACTCTGAAGGTATTATAATATGTTTTCGTCATTATTACTGTCTTCTTTATTTGTCTTAACATACTGATTTAAACAGTGTGCTTGAGAAAACATTTTAATCCCAGAGATGAAGTGGAAGACTTAGGATATTATGTAACAAGGAACTTCATGAGTTATACTACATATAACCTAGTATTGGTAAGGCTATGAAAGCTAAGTGGTGTATAAGTGGGATTGTGGAGACAAGGAATACACAGGTTTTGGAAGGGGAATTCTCTAGGAGAGTCACCATTTGGTAGACTAAAACGCAATGAGAGAATAAAACTTGGATCTTAGGAATAGGTTTTGAAAACAGAAGATGAACTGAAGTGGTGGGCTTCCATATGAAAATGTAAAACTTTCAGGCTATACTGTTTCATAAGTTTTTAATACACAAAAGATGGATTATGAGCATTCTTATTTTTTTTAACTGTCAAGACTACCAACTGTCACAGTAAGTGGTTAGCACTCCTAGTTAGTATTTTGGAGGTGCCAGTTTTTTAAATCCCTGCCTGGTGGTTGGTTGTTCAGGCAGATTCTTTATGGTTACCCTCAATACCCCCAGAAAGTACCTTAAAATGGCCATGACCATTTCTGCGTCTCTCATATTCATTCGCCATCCTGCATGCCTGATGTATACAGTTGAGAAAAGCTTTGTTAAATAAATCAAGAACCAAAAACTTTTCATAGTCTCAAGTAAACTGCTGAAGTCTAGCAGTATTATGTTCATATTCTATAATGTATAAGTAACATACAGGTAAACAGCAGCATAATTAAAATTAACTGATAAATCTTCCAAGTGACTAAAAACTGTACACGTACATAATGCAGAGCTTTGCCAACAATCGCCAATTGAAATCAGATACTTTTCTATGGAACTTCTGATTTGGCTGCTGGAGTCTGATGCCAAAGTTCTGTCACAGCTGTGTTGCTTGTGATTGACTTGTTGAATTTCGGAATATGAATGTGACATTATGTGATGCAGCACCCAGACCCAGTTCCTACAAAGTATAAAAATGCAAGCGTGACATTTTATGATTGTAACACAGCACAGGTTTCAACATGACTTTTACTATCAATTAATTTGTTAACAAACGTGTCATCATATGAATTTCATGCCAAGTTAATGATGAATGCATCAATATATTTTGTATACCTACCATTTCCTAGGAAAAGATACCTTAATAAAAGCTGCAAACTTTTCATAAATTTACCACCAAACAAAACTTTGGGACCTCATGCTAAATGATGCTAGCATTGCTCCAAAACATGAGTTAACTGGTGCCAATGAGTTTGATGGCCATGTAGACAAACATGCAGTTTAACAAATACTACGATTTACCAAACACCACAGTCAAGTGGATCACATATTCATATTCAGAATGTCCTGTTTCAGATGTCAACCTGAAGACCAACTGTCATTACAGGGACAGTACCTCAAATGCCACAGTTGTTTCCACATTCTTTCCAAGCCACAGTGTTCACTAATTATCCTACTATTTGAGAGTATACAGCCTGGGATACTGACAGCTATATTATAAAAACAAACAAAAATATGTAACTTGGGATAACTGACGTTCCTTACAATTTGAGGCCCGGGAGTTGATGTTGCTCACATTTTTAGAATTTAAATAAACACAATTAAATTCAATCAACAGTACATCTAATTTCTCGCAAACACTCTTCGTAACAATATTACAATTCTGTGAACATTTAGTAATAAACACTTCCTTCACACTGCCCTGGTTATGTCATGTACCATGACCAACTTTGTTTTATTTCATAAGCAGTATATTCATTGAGAATCTGAAATCAGTTTCACTAAACAAAGGTGGCAGGCTGTGGCAAATATAAAGGTAAGCACATACATTAATATTATGACATGATGGATGAAAGCCAGAATAGCATACCCAGAAAGACATCCATGGCTAGGCAATGGCACAGTGAACATGTTTTCATGGTAACAAATAACCATGCAACAGAAGAACTGTTAGAAGTGGTGTTCTCCATATGGTCTGTGATGAGGCTATATAATGAGAACCAACAGGAGTTTTAGTTAGTCGAGAATGTGAGTGAGTTGCAGTCACGAGTTGGTCTTTGGTTGTGACCAGCACGAGTGTGAGCATGGAAGCAGAGGAGTCTCCACTGCTGAGAACCATAACCAAGCAACACCTAGTGAAGGCTATAGCAAACTGGGAAGACTAACATGTATTAGCGAGATTTGTGCAGTATAGTCACGGGTTATAAGCATCCAGTAAATCCAATAATAAGTCCAAACCCCATGTCTAGTCACTAACACGTGACAATATAGACCCTCCAATTCATTTACAAATCTTCCCATCATATCTAATGATGGTGACATATGACCTCACCAATTGATGGAGTTCCATAAAATAACTAAATAAACATGAACAGAACATAGAGTTTATGATCCTCACCTGCAATACTGTAGCCTTGATAGGCTGTGAGTAATGTTGCCAGCGAAAGAGCTGATTCATGCGGACACACAGGTTGGAAGCTGCTTGCTGAGCAACTTGCAGTTGGCAGTCACGCTGGCTTGATAGCTCATCCCCCCCATACTCATTAACGGTCTGCTTCCCTTTCAGTTGCAGGTTTTCATGAGGAATCAATCCGACCCCAGCGCACTGACAGTCCAACATTTCATGTGTAATGCAGGCACTGTCATGGTGAAAGGTAAACAGATCCTGAAATATACATCAAACTGGAATGGTTCATGTCTTCACTTCATCCACTTCACACTGGACTTCAAATACAAAGGGCCATCACCCAAATCCTCTTACAAAAGTGGCAACACTAAGTGATGTAAGGGTAAAGTGTTGAACTTCTATTCCAAAGGATCTGTGTTTGAGACCAGTGGTCTCCATTGTGGATTCTTCTGCCTACTTTTCCTGCCACAGCTGTCAAAGATAAATATCTATGAACATGAGGCATACTGGGCCCACAACATGATTTGGAGTCATCTTCTTTTTTAATTTGCTTAGTGGGGGGTGGAGTCCAACTGGGTCCACTCGGCACGGCGGCCACTGATTGGCCTATTGTAGCCTGCTCCGGGTGATTATGATGATGGAGAATTTGGTGGAATGAAGATTGTCGGGGGAAACCGAAGTACTCTGAGAAAACCTGCCCCAGCACCACTTTGTCCACCACAAATCCCACTTGACCAGACCCAGGATCAAACCTGGGCTGCCATGGTGGGAAGCCAGCTACTAACCGCTTGAGCTGTGGCGTGGCCTGGAGTCATTTTACCATAGGTCCCATTCCCAAGCAATCTCTCAACATCATCGTGGAGTCCAGAAGTGCAAGTTCTGTATAGTTGTAGGCTGCCTCATAAATCAACTAACAGGAAAATGTTATGCATATGCTGTATTTAAATCACCTGGACAGCATCCTTCACAATCATGCAATGTGTTTATTTTATTTTTGATCTGCTTATGTTATGACCATTTTTGGATGAAAAATTAAAACAAAAATTGATATCAGCTGATATTAATATATTATAAAATTCAGAGCATGGTACAATAGGCCAGAAGTGGCCACAGTGTAAGGGACTTAACCCCACCCCACTAACAATAAAAAAAATTCAGAACAAGCTGTTACTTAATGTACAAAACTTACTTCAAGAAAGTATAGAAAAAAGACAAGGGATGTACACCTTTGAATCTGCTTGAGATTTTGGCCTGTACTGCGGTATATTTCACTAGACTACCGAGGTTGCTAGCATATGTGATGACATGTTTGCTTTCTACCTGCACCTGGCATCAAGTTATGAGACAAGCTACAATTATGGGAAACATGGATAGTCAGGAGACCAACTGTGAAGGCACAAGAAACATAAAATCACTAAAATAAAGATCCAAATATCTGTATGACAAAACCTCATTTGTTTGAATGGGATGTACCACAGAATAGTTAGTGATAACCTGAACAAGGGAGATGACTGGAGACACTTCCTACACCTTACACAGTCTACAAAAATGTAATACACTACAGCAACTCAGAGGAAGATGTTATGAAACCTCTAGAAAAGGTGGACATATTGTACAGGCTCTTGTGAACATGATAATGAACCTTTGGACTGTATAAAATGTGAGGAATTTCTTGTCTGGCTGAGTGGCTATTGGGTTCTTGGGAAGGACCTTGCTCCATAAAAGTGGAAGTTACATTCCGTTCTGTAATACCTATAACAAGACAACNCATTTATCGTGCAGAGTGCAACAGGATGCTTAAATATAATATTATAACAAAACAATTTGGAATTATACTGGGACGGATACATAATTTTTGTGCAAGGCATAGTTCCAGGGAGATGTCAGAAGCACTGGTGTAAATATGACTAGTCTTGTTCTTCCAATAATTTTACTGCATAATATTTCTTGCCCCTTAGAAGATCGTGTACCTTGAGTTCTTCATTTGAGAGTCGGATTTTACTCTGGTTCTGGGGGTCCACTACTGCCCCACTTAGGCCTGTTTTGCTGATCTGTCGTTGGAAAATCTTCTCCTCAATAGAACCTGCTGTCAGAAGTCTGAAATATATATCATATGTTACATTATGTGCAATTATGGCTATTACTTTACTGGACTGCTGGAGAGAAAATGCCTACGGCACACCCGGTGCACTTGTTGACCAGAAAGAGTTAATAACATAAATCATTAATCAATAAACTGATTATAATAGTCACAATAATTTACATAATACAATTCTGTATTTAAGCATCCTGTTGCAAGTCATATTAAAATGTCCATGTATAACACAGTCTGTCAATAACGCAACAAATTGTTCCTTTTTCTTTCACTTACGCTTTAACACAACATGTTTCGGCCTTNATGACTTTAAAAATAGGAATTTTTTAACAGCAGACCTAAATTTTTTAATCTCATGAGCTTGTTCTTTTATATTAGGTGGAAGTTTATTAAAAATTTTAATTCCAAAATAATATGTTCCCTTTTGAAAGACAGTTAAGTTACATGAGGGATGATGGAGGTTATTACTATGTCTTGTGTTGATTGTATGAATCTCAGAATTAGATAAAAATAGATCTTTGTTTTTGACCACAAATAACAAAATGGAAAAAACGTACTGTGAGTAAAGGGGCAGAATCTTTAATCTCTTAAACAACTCCCTACAAGAATCTCTACTTCTAGAATTGATGATTACTCTTATTACCCTCTTCTGTAGTCTAAAGATATGGATGCAGAGGGGTGAATTACCCCAGAAAATCAGGCCATATGTCATAATAGAATGAAAATATGAAAAATATACTAATCTGATTGATTCTAAAGACATATAGGGTTCAATAGCCCTAACTGCATAGAAAGCTGAACCCAGTTTGGACATGAGCCAGTCAATGTGTCCTTTCCATGATAGGGTATTATTAATCATCAAACCTAGGAACTTAATATCAACGGTTGTAGCAATCTGACTGTTACTATAAATGATAGGTATGTCCATTGTAATACTATTCTTGGCTGAGAAATGCATAAAGTACGTTTTATTGAGATTCAATGTCAGTAAGTTAGCCTTAAACCATTCATTTATATTTTTCAATATTAAATTTAGTTCATTTTCATACTCAATACGATTAGAGTTCTTAACAATAATACTGGTATCATCCGCGAAGAGAATAGTTATTGATTTACTCTTTATAATATTTGGCAGATCATTAATGTATATCAAAAACAATAAGGGACCTAAGATTGATCCCTGGGGAACACCACTGACAATCCTACTCCAACTTGAATGAGTGCACTTCTTATTAGTTACAACTCTTTGATGTCTACCATGAAGGTAGGATTCCAGTAACGCATTAGCTTTTCCTACTATTCCATAAAATTTCAATTTAGATAATGGATTAGATAATTAGATTAGATAATTTAGATTAATGGAATAATAATGTATAAAGTATGAATTTTCATATCACAAAGAAGTTAAAGTTTTTACTCTAAGTTCAGCTAAGTCCCAGGTCAGAGGTCAGAGATGAAACTCCAACCAAGGAGCAAACTGTAGTGACAGAATTANAAATCGAGTTTGAGAAGTGTTTCGATGATTGGAAGAAGCGCTGGCGTAAGTGCATAATATCGAATGGGGACTATTTTGAAGGCGACAACATTAATGTAGACGAATGAATAAATATTTTTTCCAAAATACGGAAATTCCCGTCATTTTTTGAACACACCTCGTATATCAAGGGGTTGTGATAATTGAGTTTGGAGCATTAGTGGAGAAAATCAAAGTATTCAAAGAAAAATCTGTCCTGGTGTCACTTTGATATCCATATGAACTGCTGAGATTGAGCTGAGGCTTCTGTGGTAGTTAGCCTGCATTTAACCACTTCACCTATGACATGCTCAATAGCAAATGTTACCATACCTAAAGGAAGCATTGGGAAAATGTCTCAAAGATGAAGTGTTTTGCACTGTTGCAGTAACAGGCTATTAGATACGAGGAAGAAACAATTTTGGTATTTCTGACAAGGAGACTAATTTCAGGTACAGAGTGGAATGGTGTGTGATACATACTTACCTGTAAATATATACAGATCTTATCTGACCATCTCTCCATATGCGAGACATAGCCTGCAAGTCTGTGGCTGGATTCCAGTCTGAATCATACAGGACCAAATGAGAAGCACCTGTCAGATTCAGCCCAACACCGCCAGCTCTTGCACTCAACAGGAATACAACTACGGAGATAATAAGGAACATTTCAGGTTATGAAACATTTTTGGTTCCTGTTGAGTTGCTATCTAAGCATACATACTAATTCATATCTGGTAATGGAACAAAGAACACCAAGAAATGAACTTGAGACAGTTTGATCTCCATGAAATATGAGGTTGTCTATGAAGAACATGTCTTCTAGCATGTGCCAGTGTGTATTGTGATGGAAGCTTGTGGACTTTTGGGAGGAACATGCTTCCTCCATCTTCAGGGTAGAAGAGCAAGCCCATTCCTCTGTAACATCAGTAAGCATCAGTCAGACTACACTGTGTCAAATCCCAAAAGATAGTGTTCTTCATTTGATCTGGTTCACATGCTCATAATGTATTTCCATATAACCCATTTTATATTTTTCTCCTGTCACTCTCTCAGGAGTTGGCATAGCTCAGTTGGTATAGTGACTGGCTACGGACTGGATATGGGAGTTCAATTTTAAACAGGGGCAAGAGATTTTTCTCCACTCCACAGTCTCCATCCCTTTTTGATGGGTACTGGGGGTTCTTTCCTCAGGGGTAAAGTGAAGCTGACTATTCCACTCCATCTAGTGCTAAAGTCTAGGATAGTGGAGCTATATTTCAGCTCTCTCATATGTCTTCATGGTGTGGTAAGGTAAAGGTAAAGTTGTCCCTGTGCTTAAATAGTTAAGCACTATGCCACGAAGGCATATGGGAGAGTAGAGGTATAGCCCCACCTTTTTTCACCTCAGCACTAGATGGCGAATGTTCAGGTTCATGCCCCTGCTGTTTTACCCCCAGGGAAAGAGCCCCTTGTATGGCATGGTGCTGCACAGGGACAACTTTATTTTAATCACTTTCTCAGTCATACAAGTACCTGGTTTCTGACAGATGCAGCTCTTGTTATCAGATATTATGGTGTAGTGGTCCATTCATTCATTCATTATTAGAGGGGGTGGGTTTCCCCATGCACTTAGACCAGTTATTGGTCCATTGTGCGACTCCCTTTGATTTCTACTGTCCCCATACCCTACCGGTACTGGTGCTTTGCTATCAGCTCCACTTTGCCAGCGAGGTCAGTCCGCTTCTGGCATGTGGTACCTGATGCTTCAGCCCCACTTTGCCAGCGAGGTCAGTCCGCTTCTGGCATGTAGTACCTGATGCTTCCCCCATCTACCAGAGGCACTGGAAACTACTTGTGCGGGATACATTTTGCCTAATTTAGCTCAGAGGTCTCCTAGAGACATGAGGATCTTTTACGTGCCGTAAATCTACGACACGGGACACACGGCTTAAAGTCCCTCCCGGAGGACTTGTTCCCTGAATTTTTCCTTAAAAGTTCCACGACCTCCGCCAGGTTTGAACCAGCGTACCTTGAGTCATGAGGTGGGAACGTTACCTCTAGACTACGGAGGCTGCTATGGTATAGTGGTTAGTACTCTTGCTGCATATTCGGGATGTTCTGGATTTGAATCCTGACCCACTGACTGTCTATGCTGACTAAAAATGTGTGGGAATATTACTACTGAAATAGTTTATGAAATCCTTTGCACTCTGGAAATGTAACGAAGATACTCACCAAATTAATAAGATTCATGTTATAGACATTTTATTAATTTTATTGAAAGTATAAAAATGCTAAAAAAAAAGCTCTAGCAGATGGTAGGAGATCTTACAAACCAGAGGATTAGAAAAAAATTTGGAAACTTACAATGATCTGAATGCTGTCTGTTGAACATCCTGACAATCTGCATACGCTGTGTGCTTGGGGTTGAGCCATCCAACCGGCAGAACTTATATTGCTTTTGTTCACACATGTTTGCTAGCATGTCCAGAGTCTGGAAAAGGAAGTATCATATTTATGAGAACAGCCAAGGGAATTTCATTATGCCGGGCACATAGTTCAAATGGGATAGAGCTGTGACAAAACTCCACATTTTCCTCTGCTCTCAGTGTCCAATGTGTTGTCTGTCCATGTCTCATCCCTTCTTTTCTCATCTAAGTGCACTTCGACTTTTCCACAGGTCTTTTTCCCTTCTGGTTTCAATTCCATTTGCCATTTTGAGTGAGCAATGGCCAAATCATTCAAATCCATTTCTTTCTAAATCCCCCTGTAATCTCTTGACTTTTACTCTACCTGTGTATAGTAGGAGACAAGTACCACTTTCTTCTTTGTATGATTCAGTTCTTGAAGTAAACACATCACCACATCTAGCTTTCCCGATTGTTGTGGCAAGATGGCATCATTTTGTACTGGATAATTCTGCACCAGGTGGTAACTAATGTCCTCCTGCACAAGACCATTACAAAAAAGAGTGACATTTTGTATGTACACAGCTGCAGTTTTTGACTGTGCTGCATTATGAAGAATTTAAGATCTGAAGCTTTCACAGTGGCTAAAGTTGATAAGATCTTCTTGGGCTATCAGCTGCATCAGTCGGTAAAAATTACTGACGTTTCAGGGACCATCTCCATCTCCAACACCATGGTCTGACCATTAGGCCCTGAGGATGGTGACGGAAACTTTGATAATTTTTAATCACCTGACACAGCTGATAGCTTGAGAAGACTATCAATTATGATGGATGCTCAGAAAATGACAGGATTGACTAAGTCAGCCCAGATATGCGTTTCCTTGAAGCTGTAACCCATTATGCAAATTCAATTCATCATGCATGTCACAAAAGAAACTGACTTCCTTACTCTCTAACCAGCCAAGTGCCAAGTCAGGGATGAAACTCCAAACTTAGAAGTCAGGTCAGCCTGGTCAGGGCTATCACACATCTCAGAGGGTAGTGATGGAGCAATGATGAATAATCAGCAGGAGAAAACTGAAGGCACTTGGAGAGAAATCTGCTTGAGTCCCACTATGCCCACCATGTATCTCATGTGAAGTAAGGCAGGACTGAAGCTGAGGCTCCACAGTGAGAAGCCAGTGCCTAACCACCTGAGTTATGGCAATGCCCTATACATGCCATACCCTTGTCAGTTCATGTGGAAGGCTCACAACAGTGCTGGATATACCACATTACTTCGAAAATAAGACGCCCCAAAATTTAAGATGCATCTGGTTTTTGAATGTGGGTTTGGGGGGGATTAGAAAGATGTACAATCCTCACATTTAAGACACTTCAATTTTTCAATGGAGAAAGAAATGTGTAAAATATGCGTTTTATATTCGAAGTAATACTGTGCTTGTCAGCTGCAATAACTGCTGTAATAATGTGTAATAAATATGAATGAATACAAGGCAAAACTTCAGTAATATTGTGAAGTTTGCTCAATTCTGTGCAATAAATTTGAATAATGTGAAGGGTGGTCTGAAGCGGCCTCTGTAGTCTAGGGGTAACGTTCCCACCTCATGACTCAAGGTAAGCGGGTTCAAACCCGGCGGAGGTCGTGGAATTTTTAAGGGCGGAAAAATTCAGGGAACAAGTCCTCCGGGAGGGACTTTAAGCCGTGGGTTCCATGTCGTAGATTTACGGCACGTAAAAGAACCTCATGCCTCTAGGAGGCCTCTGAGCTAAATTAGGCCAAAAAGTTTCCTGCCCAAATAGTTTCCAATGCCTCCGATAGATGGGGAAGTATTAGGTACCACTGCCAGAGGAGGGACGACCTTGCTGACAGAAAGGGACTAACTATTAGATACCACTGCCAAGTAGAGGGTAGAAACCTCGCTGGCAGAAAGGGGCTGATAGCAAGCACCAGTATCGGTAGGGGATGGAGACGGTAGAAATTAAAAAGGGGGATGTACAATAGACTATCAGTCACGGTGCATGGGTAAACCCACCCCCTCAATACTGAATCACAGAAAGGGTGGTCTGAAAGAAACAGTGCTGGCCACAGTTGGCCCGGAATTTGTTTTGCTGTAAACATGATGTTACCATGTCTCATTAAGTGTTCAGTTCAATATGTATATATCACACTTCCATTAATTATGAAATGAAATAGTATTTGGCTTTAATATATCATAAAATGCCCACTTTTTTTCCTTTTTGTGCTTCTCCAAAAATTAGCTTCCTGTTATATTTACATATTATCAAACTATATATAAAAACATGCCAGATTTTCTGTAATTTTTACTACATTGGCAGTTGTTTACTGTATTTAGAAACTATTCAATACATTGTGTACTGTCAACATGTAATAACATTTCTTCCTTCAGTTTGCCTTTTCAGAATCATAATGCATATTACTTGTATATTCATGGGTGAATTAATTGTTGGAAATTACAGTACCACCTCAGACATAATATAGAACTCTATTATATGGCACTTTGTACAGTGGAGAGAAAGGAGAATCTGTAATTCGATATAATGTAGGCTGAATGAGATGGGATGTGTGGTATACTTGAGCTATGGAGAAGTGTGTGGGAGGGAGCAGTTGTTGTAATTTTAAAGACAAAGTAAACTTCCCATTATCTGGAAAGTATGGGGAATTTTGGTCTGCCAGTTGCATGAGAAAAACTTTTACACAAACCAAATACAGAGCCAAAACAGTGTTTCTGCTTTAGTCGTGCATGGCAGCATTCTTAGGTGACACAGAGGATGGAGGAGTGAAGATTTTGGATACATGTACCGTAACATAATCATAAATTCAACTATTGTACAAGACTGTAATCTTGAGAACTGTGAGGAATGAAGGAAGTCTGAACCATTAAGGGTGCAGCAACTACTATCTCAGCCAAAGCATTCATACTCTACAGTGGCTGTGCAAGCTCCATGTCACTGTCTTCATCAGGCACAACATTATTGTACTCAGTGTCAGTTTCACTGCTGACATGATGCTGTGCACTACAGAGATACAAACACAATTGCTTTACTTCATTTGAGCATTTACAAATTGTATAAGGTCTGCCATTACTTTTACTACTAAAATTAACTTATTTGTTATATTGTATAGGTTTATCAGTATTTTATTACAAATGTGTATGCTATTGGATGATAACTGTAATTCTTAGTTGTGACTGTAACTAGAACACTCTCCACATCCGCATGAGAATGTATTCTCAACAGGATTTATGGAAGGTGAATAAATGAAATGAGCACTACACAAATACTCTAGTAGCCAATATGATCTGAACTGATGCTATGCACAGTAAGTAGGTCTGTTTTAGCTCTTTCCCCCTTGATGGCCCCTTACTCCCTCACCCGACAAGTGTCAAGATTAGAGTCTCTACCAGTAGACTGTACTGTAATGGCACCCGCATGGGGAGAAGATGACAGGTAGCAGTGCTAGTGGTGGATGGGAGAACTACCACATGGCAGGTGAATGTATGAGCATTGCAAGTTTTGTTTTGAATAACTTTCTAAAAATATAACATTTTCTTTGAAATTTTTGCTGGATGGATGAGAGTTCTGGGTATTTTGAACTGGATAACCACATGGTTACTCTACTATATTGGTATTTGCACTAACCAGAGGTCTAACACTTCCTGAGAAGTTCAGGTTCGGGCCATGGTTTACCTGTCTGACTTCTCACTGTATGCTTAATCCATCCACATCCATACCCATGTTAGGTAGCCTGCCCTACGAAGAGTAATTATAAATGATAACTGATATGCTAGATCTATAAATTACTAAAACATACTTTTAGTGGTCTCTATATGGCACCTTCAGCTGACGCAATTTACAGAACCATACAGTATCACAATATAACACATAGATGACAGCAGGGCCACTTCAAGTGACAACATTACGCTTGAAAGTATGCTTGCATTGACCAAAGCCTGTACATGTTAAGAGGCATGCTTCATATTAATCTGTATTTAGTATGTCTCTGTACCTCTCCTGGCAATTGCTGTGACCGACGAGGTTTAACCAATGATGGATGATTGCAGATTTTTTTGAGCGCAGTGATTACTCCAAGGTGAGCTACTTCCTCTGGCCCTGACTCACAGCCTCGACTCTCCCAATAGTCAACTGCTGCTTTGTACATTGCTTGCTGCATAACATGACACCATAAGATGTAACTCAGACACTCAGTTGCCAACATAAAATTTTTAGTAAATCTTTTTGAAAGAGAGATTAAAGGGACTATTTTATGTTTAGGTTATCAAAGTCAGTTTTTATTACAGGCACTAAACATGTAACTACCTGTCTATCTAATTCAGTAACCAGCCAACAAACAATGTATGTAATTTGTAAGTTCTGAGGTTTTCACGGCGATGACTATGAAGAAAGTCGTCTTCTGGATTTTGGCACTGTGTATTCTTCGTTTTGGCCGACGTTTCGGAGGAACATATCGCCTCCATCACCTGCACTGAAGATGGAGGCGATATGTTCCTCCGAAACGTCGGCCAAAACGAAGAATACACAGTGCCAAAATCCAGAAGACGACTTTCTTCATAGTCATCGCCGTGAAAACCTCAGAACTTACAAATTACATACATTGTTTGTTGGCTGGTTACTGAATTAGATAGACAGGTAGTTACATGTTTAGTGCCTGTAATAAAAACTGACTTTGATAACCTAAACATAAAATAGTCCCTTTAATCTCTCTTTCAAAAAGATTTACTAAAAATTTTATGTTGGCAACTGAGTGTCTGAGTTACATCTTATGGTGTCATGTTATGCAGCAAGCAATGTACAAAGCAGCAGTTGACTATTGGGAGAGTCGAGGCTGTGAGTCAGGGCCAGAGGAAGTAGCTCACCTTGGAGTAATCACTGCGCTCAAAAAAATCTGCAATCATCCATCATTGGTTAAACCTCGTCGGTCACAGCAATTGCCAGGAGAGGTACAGAGACATACTAAATACAGATTAATATGAAGCATGCCTCTTAACATGTACAGGCTTTGGTCAATGCAAGCATACTTTCAAGCGTAATGTTGTCACTTGAAGTGGCCCTGCTGTCATCTATGTGTTATATTGTGATACTGTATGGTTCTGTAAATTGCGTCAGCTGAAGGTGCCATATAGAGACCACTAAAAGTATGTTTTAGTAATTTATAGATCTAGCATATCAGTTATCATTTATAATTACTCTTCGTAGGGCAGGCTACCTAACATGGGTATGGATGTGGATGGATTAAGCATACAGTGAGAAGTCAGACAGGTAAACCATGGCCCGAACCTGAACTTCTCAGGAAGTGTTAGACCTCTGGTTAGTGCAAATACCAATATAGTAGAGTAACCATGTGGTTATCCAGTTCAAAATACCCAGAACTCTCATCCATCCAGCAAAAATTTCAAAGAAAATGTTATATTTTTAGAAAGTTATTCAAAACAAAACTTGCAATGCTCATACATTCACCTGCCATGTGGTAGTTCTCCCATCCACCACTAGCACTGCTACCTGTCATCTTCTCCCCATGCGGGTGCCATTACAGTACAGTCTACTGGTAGAGACTCTAATCTTGACACTTGTCGGGTGAGGGAGTAAGGGGCCATCAAGGGGGAAAGAGCTAAAACAGACCTACTTACTGTGCATAGCATCAGTTCAGATCATATTGGCTACTAGAGTATTTGTGTAGTGCTCATTTCATTTATTCACCTTCCATAAATCCTGTTGAGAATACATTCTCATGCGGATGTGGAGAGTGTTCTAGTTACAGTCACAACTAAGAATTACAGTTATCATCCAATAGCATACACATTTGTAATAAAATACTGATAAACCTATACAATATAACAAATAAGTTAATTTTAGTAGTAAAAGTAATGGCAGACCTTATACAATTTGTAAATGCTCAAATGAAGTAAAGCAATTGTGTTTGTATCTCTGTAGTGCACAGCATCATGTCAGCAGTGAAACTGACACTGAGTACAATAATGTTGTGCCTGATGAAGACAGTGACATGGAGCTTGCACAGCCACTGTAGAGTATGAATGCTTTGGCTGAGATAGTAGTTGCTGCACCCTTAATGGTTCAGACTTCCTTCATTCCTCACAGTTCTCAAGATTACAGTCTTGTACAATAGTTGAATTTATGATTATGTTACGGTACATGTATCCAAAATCTTCACTCCTCCATCCTCTGTGTCACCTAAGAATGCTGCCATGCACGACTAAAGCAGAAACACTGTTTTGGCTCTGTATTTGGTTTGTGTAAAAGTTTTTCTCATGCAACTGGCAGACCAAAATTCCCCATACTTTCCAGATAATGGGAAGTTTACTTTGTCTTTAAAATTACAACAACTGCTCCCTCCCACACACTTCTCCATAGCTCAAGTATACCACACATCCCATCTCATTCAGCCTACATTATATCGAATTACAGATTCTCCTTTCTCTCCACTGTACAAAGTGCCATATAATAGAGTTCTATATTATGTCTGAGGTGGTACTGTAATTTCCAACAATTAATTCACCCATGAATATACAAGTAATATGCATTATGATTCTGAAAAGGCAAACTGAAGGAAGAAATGTTATTACATGTTGACAGTACACAATGTATTGAATAGTTTCTAAATACAGTAAACAACTGCCAATGTAGTAAAAATTACAGAAAATCTGGCATGTTTTTATATATAGTTTGATAATATGTAAATATAACAGGAAGCTAATTTTTGGAGAAGCACAAAAAGGAAAAAAAGTGGGCATTTTATGATATATTAAAGCCAAATACTATTTCATTTCATAATTAATGGAAGTGTGATATATACATATTGAACTGAACACTTAATGAGACATGGTAACATCATGTTTACAGCAAAACAAATTCCAGGCCAACTGTGGCCAGCACTGTTTCTTTCAGACCACCCTTTCTGTGATTCAGTATTGAGGGGGTGGGTTTACCCATGCACCGTGACTGATAGTCTATTGTACATCCCCCTTTTTAATTTCTACCGTCTCCATCCCCTACCGATACTGGTGCTTGCTATCAGCCCCTTTCTGCCAGCGAGGTTTCTACCCTCTACNGCCACTCCCCTCCGCGGTGACGTCACCGAGGGATATCGCGGTCGCTAGGCAACGCGAATCAACAGCGGCGACGTTACGATGGTAACAACGGTGACCTCCGCTAGCGTTACATAGCAACACAGCGTGGCTAGCAACAAGGGTGCCTATTACGTGGCCGTTTTCCCGTATTGTCCGATCGAGGCTACATAGGGAGCAGCGAAGGCTATTCACAGTCAGTTCTAGTGTGGCTACCGCAGAGTTGTACTGAGTCAGTCAGCGAGTCCTGGACCTATCGTCGAGTTAGCCAGCAACCAGTCAGTTGTATTGTGGCATTTGGAGTGTACTAATTGTGATACTGCAGGTAGCAGTAATCGTCAGATTGTAATTTGGGTGATTGTATGAGCGAATGTGAAATAAAACTCGCTACATCAAATACAACGAGAAGTTATTTGTCGCGATATACGCCCGATACGCGACAATATATATTCACAAGGCAAAGTTAAGATCTGTAGTCTCTTAAATAGATCTCTACGGGAATTATGGGATTTGACACCCATCATGATTTCTTTTGCAATGTAAATACTGTGACGAGCTATCTTACGTCCATCGCCGCGCAATGGCTACAATGGAAATTGTGGAGATCCCACAGCAACAAATCATAGCTACGAATTGCTGTTGAGTAACAACAGATGAGACAAAACTCATTACCAGTGTATAAAGAGCATTTCCGAAGCAACGGATTGCCGAACACATGAGATCGAACCTTGGGAATGGTGTCTCGTATCCGGTCTGCAGAACACCTACATAAGGTGTAAGAGCGACAGAGCTACACCAACACAGAGCTAATTAGCCTTCATACAACATGGTTGGAACCTAGTTGAGACGTCGCAGAAGTCACATGATACCACAGTTGATAATAACTGTATGGTGTATAAGTGTGAGTGTCCAATAAAGATTCGCTGAACCTGACACACATGTGAAGTTGTCGCGTGACACACCCAACATGTGACAACTAACTTCACGTGGGTCTCTGATTCAGGGAATCTTTATTGGACACTCACACTTATACAGTCAGATGAATTACCCCAGAAAATTATTCCATACTTCATTAAAGAGTGAAAATAAGCAAATAGATTGATTTGAGAGTGTCAATGTTACTAATGTGTAACATGAATCTAACTGCATAACATGCTCTACTTAGCTTTGGAATCAACTGATCAATATGGTTTTTCCAGTTTAAATGATTATCAATTTGCAAGCCAAGGAATTTTGTGTTTACTCCCTCTTCTATATATTTATCATTATATCCTATGTTTAATGGATACTGTGGTGAGTTTTTTGTTATAAATTTTATTACATTTGTTTTTTCTAGGTTCAGGGAGAAGCTTGTTTGTAGAAAACCATTTATTCATTTGTGAAAGAATCTTGCTTGATAACATGCAGAAATCATCTAAATTTTTACCATAAATTATAACACTAGTGTCATCTGCAAATATTATAGGTATTGCTGAGGTCCTTAGTGTAGGAGGGAGGTTGTTTATATAAATTATGAAAAGCAAAGGCCCCAAAATTGACCCCTGTGGAACGCCATGTTTTATTATTCCTCAGTTTGAGTAGGTATTTTGGATTGAATTTGATGATTTTATTTCAGTCTTTTGTTTTCTGTTAGGTAGGATCTGAACCAACTTAACATTGTTCCTTGAATGCCAAAGAAATGTAATTTAGTTAATAAAATTTCATGATTTACACAGTCAAACGCCTTTATTAAGTCACAGAATATTCCACCAACATGCATTTTTTGATTAATAGATTTCAGCACACTGTCTGTTACCTTAAGGGCTACATTTTCAATGGAAATTCCTTTCCTAAAGCCAAACTATTCTGGGACTAGTATTATGTTACTCCGAAAATAATGGCTTAACCTATTGTGCATAACTTTTTCAAGTACTTTAGAGAAAGTAGTTAGCAGTGAAATTGGCCTGTAGTTTGACATACTAGTCTTGTCCCCTTTTTTATATAGTGGTCTTACTACTGAAATCTTAAGACAATCAGGAAAGATTCCTGTGGATAGTGAGTGATTACAGATGTGAGTTAATGGGCTACTGATTACAGATGCACAAACTTTTAAATTTTTACTTATTATTCCATCATAACCTGAAGAGTTTTTTGTTTCAAGGGAATGTATTATACTTTTTAATTCAGTTTCAGTGGATGGAATGGTTTTAATACCAGGGAATTTTCTAGGAAATGTCTCTCTTAAAAATCAAATTACATTATCTCCCACTTCCTGATGCAAGTTTAGATTTTCTGTAATTGTTAGAAGAAAGTACTGAAGGCATCTGCAATTTCTCCTGGGTCCTCAACTTTTTCATCATTTATAAGGAGAGATGGTATCTGTTCAGTCAGATGTGATTTTCCTGTTTCAGGTTTTATTATATTCCAGATTGTTTTTATCTGATTATTCGATGTTGCTATAAGTCTAGTGTAATGCTGCCTTTTAGACTTTTTTATAACTCTACTCAGGATTTTGCAGTACCTTATGTAGTATGCTCTCATGTAGGGATTATTACTGCTCCTGCTGTCTACATACAGATGCCTTTTATGTTTACAAGATATTTTTATTCCTTCTGTAATCCAGTGGTTTTTTATTCTACTTACACTTTTATTCTGCATAGGAAAACTGGCTTCAAAGATATATACAAAAATATATAAAAAGGAGTTAAACTTATAATTTGTATCCTTAATTTTGAAAACAGGTTCCCACGTTTCATTTTCTAATAGAGGTTGAAATTGAGCAATGGTTTCACTATTTATTTTTCTGGTTCTCTGTTTCAAGGGTGTTGAATTTACTTCTGCAATAATATTATTTACTGTAAGAAATTGAGCATCATGGTCAGAGAGGCCGTTGACTAAGGAGATGTACAAGAAGAGCTTAATCTTCCATTATCTATGAAGATATTATCAATGGCTGTGCTCGAGGAATTTTGAACTCTTGCTGCAAAATTCACTGTGAGTGACAGATTGTATGTCCTTATTAAAGAGTTTACTTGTTTTTTCTGACTGCTTTCATTTAAATAGTTTATGTTTATGTCTTCACAGATTATAAACTCAGACTTTGGATCGTACAGATATTTTAAAGTTGCATCTAGTCTCCTTAGAAATTAATTAACCTCTCCTGAAGTGGCTCTGTACAGGCTTAATATAATTAGGTGAGATGTTTTAGTTACTAGATGTATTGCACAGATTTCAAAGTCTTGCTCCTTACAGTGATGAGAAATATAAATTTTGCTGAAATGTAGATCTGTCTTAACAAAAATACACACTCCTCCCCTCTGTAGGCTCTTTCAGCAAAAACTTGAGCCTAACAGGTAACCATTCATTGAGAGCAGCAATTCCTGTTCAACCATGTGATGTTCAATTAAACATAATATGAGAATTTATGTTGTCTATTTCAAAAGAGTGTAGTAATTCATCACTTTTGCTTCTCAAGCCTCTGATATTTTGGTGAAAGATATTTATTGAATTTAATGTTTCTGCATTTTGTCTGTGAATTTCCAAGACTGCTGGACTGCATTTAATGTATGTTAGGCATCTTGGTACTTTTGAATTTAATCTAAAAAAGGAGACACCCTAGCATTGGTTATAACAGGAATACCGCTTATACCCGACGCATGACCATCAACAACCCATTCAGCAATAAGCTGCGTGAGCCTCTTCTTGCCTCAAGAGCTCAGGTGCAGGCCATGCGTTGTGTAATCTTCCCTTGCAATTGATGATGTGTCAATGACACCAATGTGAGACATGTCACGACCCATCAGGCCCTGATCAAGCCTTAGATTCATGCTCCTGACCCTCCCATTCATCCATGGCTTGTCATGCCTCTCAAAGAGGCTGACAAATCCCACATTGGTGTTTGATGTCCTCTCTGCAATGTAGTTGAGTTCATTTTCAATTGAATAATGATAGTTTCTAACCAGGCTGTTTCCTGGCCCTCCCACTGTAATATGATCTTGCTTGGTAAGGCCTTTACCAAGCTTCCCTATATCCTCAACAACCTTTGCAATAGGAGCATTTGGTTTGAAAATGCTACATATGGAAAATTTAGTTCCCCAGATTTTCTTGAAGCATGGGGCCAATTTCCCTACCATGACTACTTCCCAGTAATAAAATGTTTCTTTTATTTTTATTTTTCTCTGTCTTCATTGTGATAGATTTTAGTTCCCTGCCTTTATGCTTCAACAAAACTGGGGTGGGGACATGGATATCCGCAGTTTCATTTTATCAGGAGAATTTCAATCAAGTAAAAGAAGTGGGTACAAAACTTGAAGATGAGTATGCATGTGTCTGTGAAGCAAAAGTGGTGTTTGGATGTGATACTGTTGTCAAGATGTGAATTTTATCCATGCACATTTTTCTACAGTTTCAAAAGCCATTGAGAGCTTAGCATCTCGTGGTGCACTCCTTCACGACTCACTTGAACTCGTTCAGAAAGCAATTTGTTCACTGAATTTTGCACTAGGCGAAATTGGAGACAAGATTAAAAGCAAGTTAGAAATGGTGTTGATGGACAACAGACGCAGTTTGTCTCCAGAAAACACTGAAGACTTCCAGTTGCCTATTGTGATGCTACTTTCTGCAGTGAATGATATATGTAAATAGGTGAGTCTGAATAAAGTGACCTCTTTCTTAAGTGCATATTGTTTTATTCTTGGTGCATATTTTCCTGCTTCTTAGCACATATTTTAAGTGTTTTTAGCGCATAAAGATCCGGGCCCTAGTAATTACAACGACTGACTTTTTGGACATGAAATCCAATGTCCTATTTTTATTTAAACAAGTTTCTGAGATTGGACTTCATCCTCAGGTAAAAGCCCACTCAGTTGAGCCCAACTGATAGAGCTATTCCCTATCTCCAGACAAAAGAACCAACAAAAGACAGGATATATAAATCAAACACAACATAAACCACCAGTAGGCATTCAGACAATTTTAAAATGTCAAGTGTGTGAAAACTAAATATTGTTTTAAATAAAAATAGGATTATGGGTACAAAAGATAAAGCTATCCCTGTAACAGGCCGTGAAGGCCCATAGGGTTGTGTGACATCGAGCCTCCCATATTTTTCTAGACAGTTGGTTCACAGATGGCGGTGAGGTTATCTGCATTAGGTGCCAGCCACTCTTTATCCCCCCGGAAGATTCCTGGTACTCATTTCTGCCAGAGGCTGAGTCGATCCCAGGGACATAGTGCAGCTGTAAGGATTAGGTCAATTGAAAGATCTAATGGCCTCATCAGGAATTGAAACCATGACCTTCCAGCTTGTAGCATAATATCCAAAAAGTCAATATTGTATTACTATACCACTGTCATGAACTTTTAGATCTTATATATGTAATTAACAGTCCAAGTAAGTGTGTTGCATTAGAACCAAAGATTCAACACTGGTAACACCACAGTCCACTATTAGGAAAGAATGTGATCCAATTCAGTGCAGTTTGTATCCTCACAATAAATTTTCCTACTATCCACTACTTTCCCCCACTGACTGACATCAGTATTAATTTGAATATTTGCTAAGCATAAGAGTATTTGATAATTCTGACCTGGAGTGGTGTGCTGTGACAGAAGACAACCATTTCATGTCTGGTAGGCAAATATTTATCAATTATTTCTTGAGTGCGCCGCAGGATGAACCAACTGGTGCAGTGGTTGAGTTCCGTTGCTCTCTGTTCACCCAGATTTATTACATCTTTATCAGCAGATGGCTGTCTCGATGCCAGTATAGGTTCTTCAAAATATTTTCGAAATTCTTGAAACCAAAGAGTAGTATCTTACTTGTTATCAGAAAATGGATCCACTGCTCTTTATAAACATTTCAGAGGTACTTCAATGTTCTCTCCAGAAAAAAAAATTAAATTCAGGAGTCTTTTATATACCACATATATGCTGAGACAAGATTCTTTCCACCAATCTGAACAAGTTCAGGGAAGAACTAATCGCATACTTTCCTCTGACCACAGTGGGGGGGAACACACACACACAGAACAAGGTGAGCCACCTAACAAAAATTAAGGGGAATAGATAGACAAGAAAGTAATCTCATAAGCCACATAACCCTTGAAAATTAGTGGGGGATACATAGACAGAGGAACAGATATCGACGGATACTCTGATGTAGTGGTGGGGCTTGTGTGGTCATGTGATTCTCAGAGCTATGGCAGCAGTAGGAGGGTCTTTCATGTTGGAGAGGTCAAGGTGATGATCCAGGGAAAAAGGGATACCCTGGGCCTACAGGTTGGGGGTTGAGGGTTGAGCGTGGAGGTTAATTGCTGACAAGCTTTTAACGATTCCAGCAGCATGAAAAAAAAAAATGGATACAAAAGTCACAGGATTGGGACCAATGGCGAGCAATCATAAAAGAAGCCAAGGTTCACCATGGACTGCAGTACCCACAGAAAAAGAAGGAAAAAAGAACTTCATTGTGATGAAAATCTGTGTCACCAGCAGTACAAGGCACTCAATGTCTAGTGCTGCTATGAACAGCACAGGTTTCATGCTGGTCAAACTACTGAACATATGTGAGCACAAAGTGAACACTAAATAAAACAGTGTTATTGAACAGTGTCACACATGCATTGCATGTATTTTGTTTCAGAACTAAGGAACATATCATGTAACGATTTGTGGATGTGAACTCCCTTCAGATGGGCCTTAATACCTATTATGTGTTCCATATGAAACAACCATAGAATACATTTTGGATATGAGGTTCTCACACAATGACTGAAGAAGAAGTCATGTCTTCTGGGTTCTAATGCTATGTCATTCAAAGAGTCTCAGCTTGCTGCTTGCTTGGCTTATTCTTTGACCTTGAAGATGAAGGTTGTATGTTCCTCTGAAAGAGCAGGATTTCTCTGAACTATTTAGTGTTACAACGCAGAAGATCATGCTCTTCTCAGTATAGAATACTGTGGTGTATAGACCTGTTGCTAAGCAGTAACTCTGTAAATAATGGCTGTTCCTAAGTAACATGTGCAACATACATGCAAGCAGCAACCCATTTCTAAGCAATGGCTCATTAAACACGTTCCTGCGGAAACAAACATGTGCTCAAAACAGAAGGTGTTTTCTGTTGAGTCTACTCCAAAGCTATATAGCTCGGACCCCAGGCTGGCTGAGTGCAGTTCAGTTGAGTGAAGTGAAGTAGATGTTTGGTCAGTGAGAGAGATCAGTTGAGGGTTGGCAGATGAGCTGAGCTCTGCAAGGAAGGCTGACAAAAGATGGCGATCCAGTTCAATCGAGAGCTAAAAGTGCGCCTGTGAAAAAAAAGAGTTCAGTTGTGGGATATCTGCCAGACAGTAATGACATGAGTGCGGGAAGCTGAGCATATCCACTGTTAGAAGACATTGCTAGGGAACAGCTGTTGAAGACACGGCAGACTGGAAAAAGGCTTAGCAGGTGCTGTGGTGATTTGTAGAGTGTGGAGATTAGTGATAGCACTGTAATTGCTTGTAGTTCAGAGTGGTGTATACAAATACAAATGTGTCAATAAATCCGATATCAAATCCATGCCCCATCTACAGTAACACACCCCTCCAGATAATGATTTCAAAGGGATTATCAGACTCCTGTCAACATTCAAACCTTCGTCATGTAGCTTCTATCATCCCTTTGCTGACTGAGACATGAATCATCCTGCAGTAAACAGTCCTAATTAATGTAAGAGTTGAGGTTTTCACAGCAGTGACTATGAAGAATGCCGTCTTCTGGGATGTGGCGCCATGTAGATATTTTGTTAACTGATGTTTCAGAGGAACATATCACGACAGCATTCTTCACAGTCCTAATTAATATTCCCTTGCTCAGGTGTCTTGTATGCAACATCACAAAAGAACACATACCTGTGTTTGAACCAAGCACACCAGGATTTGTGAAGTTGACAAGGGCATAGAATTCTTGTAGATCATTCTGTATAGGGGTTCCTGTCAGAAGAATTCTTCGTTTGCAATCCAACTGATATAGTAACTGGAAATGTCAAGATAAATGACAGGATAATTATGTTGTACATGCTTATTAATTTGATAATGGATAATTAAAAACCCTCTAGAGTTCAAGATAATTATCAATAACGGTATGAAAATATACACACAAACTTTAATTGTTCAAGTAAAGAGGTTGGTCTAGAAGTAAACACAGAGAAAATTAAGTATATGTTACTGTCTCTTCACCAAAATGCAGGGCAAAATCATGAGATAAAGATAGGAAACAGACGTTTTGAAAATGTGGCACAGTTCGGATATTTGGGAACAACGATAATAGATCAAAATCTGATTCAGGAGGAAATTAAGAGGTGACTGAACTCGGGTAATGCTTGCTACCATTCAGTCCAGAACCTTCTGTCTTCTTGTCTGTTGTCCAAAAACATAAAAATTAGAATATACAAAACTATAATTTTGCCTGTGGTTCTGTATGAGTGTGAAACTTGGTCTCTGACATTAAGGGAGGAACATAGACTGAGGGTGTTTGAGAGCAGGGTGTAGGAGGGGTGTGTTGTGCTCTCAAAGATCCTGAGGAAGGCAGAAACTGAAGGATGTGGGAAGATGGAAGGCAGCAATAAAGAGAAGGATTTACATTGGCATTAAAACACATCGCACACTTAATGCATTTGTCTTTTCTACTTACTGCATAGGTTCTGATTGTGGTGTTCTTCAGCCTGTGACCTTCATCACAGATGAGGAGATCAAAATGAATCTGAGAGATGTCATCATAATAACGAACAAACATTTCATATGAAATTAACATAATTGGTATTTGAGGCAAATGTTTGTAATCGCTTGGTCTGTTTTTCTGAAACAGGATAAAAACTATAATTATATAAAGCATCCTTTGCACTCCAGGTGTAAAAATGTAGCTTATTCTATGAGTTATTGGACAGTGGTTAAGTACCAACAGGTTTAATTACTCTGTAACTGCCACATGTGATAATTTTTCCCATACATCAGAAATAAATGCCAGATATAATAGCTTAAATTTGTAAGTAACAATACACTTAGTTTCATAACTTTACATTGGTTAAGGCCATAAAATATTGGATAAACTGTCAGTGGAACTTAAGAAAGATAAGTAAAACAAATGTGATTAAAACATGGCAATCACAGCCAATTAACTCCATAGTACTAAGACTTCTTTGACCAGGTGATACTCATTTAGTTGGTTGAGATAATAACTGCCATTATGCAACAAGAAACCCCCCACTGGTATCTCTACTCTGTCATAATGGTGGGGCTTGCATGAACCTGATGAACCTGATGATGTATTGCAAGATCTTAAAATTTTAAAAGTAGCAGCTTGGTGGAAGAGGGCACCAGACAGAGATAGTCAGAAAGCTGTTATCAAGGGGGCCAAGGCTCACAAAGGGCTATAGCACCAGATAAGAGGATCAGATGTAACAAGAAAGTTAATAATCATGTTCATAAAAGCCCAACAGTGAACCCTATCCTGAGTCAGTCCACCACAGAATGTATTCACACCTGACTGAACTATGAACCCGTTTAATACCTTCTTATCTACATCTAGGTTATCCAAATGGACTATTCTGACAAGGCTCATGTGTGCTACATACCCATAACATAATATTCTACTCAACACAAAGGATTCTGAAAGTTCAGAGCATGTGAGTAGAAAGATACTAATTATTTTTATATCCCCAGAAGTTTGAATTCCTCTCATGATTAAGTACACTTTGATGTAATTACAACAACGAAAAACAGTCAAGNTGAAGATGGAGGCGATACGTTCCTCCGAAACGTCGGTTAACACCGCATATACACGGTGCCAAATCCCAGAAGACTGCTTTCTTCATAGTCACCGCCGTGAAAGCCTCAAATCTTACAGTCAAGGTATCACCTGATCGACTACAAATGTCTGTACACGTTCTTGGCCAAGCCAACGAAGAAATTCATTCTGCCAGTTTTCCACAAGGCTGCTGGGTGTCACTATAAGAATCCGATGCAGTACTGGCTGGCCACCATATGGACCTTGTTTCAGTAACATCCTAGTAACATCATCACATTTAATAATCATAATAATTAACATAGAACTGTTTTCTTTATTCATTACATCATTTCTGAAAATATCTTTATTAACAGATAAAATGATATATACTTTCAAATCATCATCATATGTGAGCGAAGCAATGACCACATTGCGGACTGATGGAAGGTACAGTTATCACTGTGCTTAACAGCCACCATGCCACGAGATGTATGGGGAGTGGAGGTATAGTTCCACACATTCTTAACTGTGGCACTAGACGGAAATGTGTGGTCAGATTCATGCTCTGACTATTTACCTCTTGGGACCCCTCCCCCTCTGTATCTATTAGATAGTATGCTGGGTAGTCCCCACCAGGAATCAAACCCTGATTCCTCAGCCTTCCAGTCTATAGCTTTGTCTCTATACTGACTCAGTCAGTTTGGCTATGCATGGAAGACTGACAAGAGAAGATTAGTATTAGCTGAAATATGTTCATAGTTTCTCATTGGAAGGAAAGCACCAGGTTTCATACCCAGAATACCAGAAATTTAAATGAGGAAAACAACTTAGTGTTCTTACGTAATTACCAATCTAAGTAACTACTTAACCATCTGTACATGAGTAACCAAATACTTTAAAAAAATATTTTCTTACTGGGTCTTACCACACTACAGCAATGCATTGCAGAGTCTTTCCAAGACCCATCTCATCAGCCAAGATGGCACCATAATTTTCTGATTTCCTCATGCCCAATATGCATTCATACATGAACACAATGCCCAGTCTCTGATGTGGACGCAGTACACGAGCGATGCAATTGTCCACATTCACATCAACCACAGGGAGATGAGCAGGATTGTACTTCCACTGCCCCAACACAAAGCAGACATTTACTTACTTCTTGCATGTGGCAATAATATTTAAGTCACTACTGTCATTCAATTTTGACCTCCTTTACAAAGATAAAAGGCAATGTCATCCCTCTGCTTAAGTAATTAAGGACCATGCCATGAAGATGTGTGGAGGAGTGGAGGTACAGCTGTACCATTCCTTACCTCAGCACTAGATGGAGGTGAATGGCAGTCAGCTTCACAACCCTGTTGCTTTACCCCAGATACCTAGAGTAATGGGCTCAGTGGGCCTCACACCCGGTCTGGATGCTATGAAGAGGAGGAAAACCTCTTGCCCCTATTGGGAATCTAACCCATTCCTTGGCCATCCAGTCCATAGCCCATCACTATACCAACTATTTTTATCTCATATACCCTAATCAAGTATTTCAGACTCATGAAATTTCTTAACACATTCCCACCTGGGCAACTCGGTGCCTGCCTGTAGCAGCAGTGCACACTGCAATCCATATTTTGTGAACATTACATGTAATTTACCTCGCAGGTAATGTCTGAATTTTAAGCAGTCACTTTGGAACATATCTAGTACAAAGAAAGCAGTCTTCTGGGATTTGGCACCGTGTATATATATATATACATGGTGCCAAATCCCAGAAGACTGCTTTCTTCATAGTCACCGCCGTGAAAGCCTCAAATCTTACATATCTAGTACAGTTTGAGAGTGTGGTATCTTGTGAAACACTCTCCTTTATATATAGACCTGCTCATTCAGCTGCCACAACTTCAGTAACCAACAGTCTTGTACAGAGCTGCAATCAGTTTAGTTTCTAAGTTAAGGTAGCGAAGGTCAGTAACATGTGCAATGTCTGCACTCATTTATTTGTTATGATGCCTCACACACCAGCTTCCTATAGGACCATCACTTACTGATATTTATAAAAGACTAAATTAACTACAAACTGAAGTGAACGGAGTTCATGAAGGTAGGCCTAGGCCCACTGGGGCTGTAGTGCCAAGGGGGGGGGGGAACAAACAAACAAACTACAAACTTTTGAATCTGGTGCAACACAAAAAGAAATTTTCTCTACTCCTACAGTATAGTGAAATAGCCACAAAGTGAGGAAACTTCCTGCTCACTGAGATTGTCCTATGGACAAAAGTAATTCACAGTGTCAAGTCCTTATCAATTTTTAAAGCCTGCTGAATTGTAAGGTGTAATGGGTCAGTCAGCAAAGTAATAAGATACAAAATGGATATTTCTGATTCAATCCTGGCAGAGTCACTGTGTTACATATCAACACTCAGTAACACAAAAGTTCTTACATGACAGTGAGGGGATGATTAGTGAATAATGAACTGGACTGGATGTGGGAAGAAGTTGTGGCCTAATTTGAAGTACTATCCTGGTATCTGACTGGAGGGACTGAGGAAAACTATGAAGAATTTCAAACTCTATTGTCCCCGGACTGAGATATTAACTAAGGTCCTTCCAAATATAATTCTTGATCATTACTCATTCAACTGTGACATCTGGCCGAAGGTCTCATCCATGAAGAGTATTTCCCAGATATAAAGATGGCCAGGGAGTGAAGCTGACAGCTCATCTCAAAACTAATGTTGTAATAAATATTTGTGTGTACATAACCTCTTGGTGTGGTGCTCAGGTGCAGGAATTGCTTTAATTCTTCACATAAAAATGTTCTGGTAACAGAAATTGAAAATAACTTATTTCCACTAATTATGATATGGAAATTAAAATTAGGCATGAAATATTCCAATTACATTACAATTTCTTGTAAATTGTAAAACACCTATGGACAGCATCCTTAATAAACCATTAAATCACAAAATGAACTCCCACATTATGCCTTCATTTTACCAGTTTTTGTACAATGGAGCATAAAAATGAGTGGTAAGTCTGGAGGGATGTGGAAGGAATGAGCTGTGACCTACTGTAAATTACTATCCCAGCACTAACACGTGGACAGCACAGGTTTTAATCGAATATATGCCTGCTATTTTCACTGTTCTTTATTGCACAAAAGAAATGTATGAACAAGATTAAGTATATAACAGATTACACAAATGTGACAAATGGATTACTGCTGCACCTGATGTTCATGTGTGGGTGGAGGCATGATTAAAGGCTTCTCTGGACCTTTGCGTTTCTGAACAGAGAACAGGGCTGGTTGTGATGAAGTCTTCCTTGGTTTCTTCAACACTGGAATTGAAGCATTAGCTGTGGAGTCTGGCAATCTTTTGCTGCCAATGTTGGCACAGTTATCACTCTGTGCATCATGAGCATCACTTGAATCTGCTACATCAATAATCTGCAAAAGAATTATACTACTAATAACAAATGCATGAATACTTATTTCATCACATAACTTATAGCATCAAATAATAGACATGAACTGACTTTTCAATGTGAAATGAAATTGTCACGTGTTGGTGTATAATGCAACAAATAATTTCACGCGGTATTTGATATAGCGAATTTTATTTCACATTCGCTCTTACAATCACACAAATTACAATCTGACAATTACTGTCATCGGCAGGATCACAAATACTGGACTGCAAATGCTAGACTACAACTGAAGGTTGACTGCCTGGCTAACTCGTAACTATCTCGTAAACTGCTGACTGGAGAACTGTCTTTGGCCGCTGATACACTTTAACTAACTCGTCCACTGCTGTGTAGTTCCCTTATACAGTCGCAGTGCCCGCCTGTTATGCAATGGGTATCGCTGTTGCCTGTTACCCGTGTCACAGCTGCGTTGCGTGTTACATCACCATGGGGAGAGGAGGGGTCCTCCGTTAAGCAACATGTCACAATATATATATCTCCATATATAGTAAAAGCCCTGTTTAATGTTTCTCCTGAGAGCAGTGTGGATTTAAAAACTACACGAAAATCTTAAATGGCGGTCACTTAATGCTGTGATTATTGACTTTGACTGTTGAAATTGAACATTAAATGAGGATAACCCCTGTTTAACGTTTTTTTGGTAGACTACTAGGATCCAAAAACTAAACTAGAACGTTAAATTGAGGAACACTAAATTTGATGTTCTACTGTACTTGGAATACTCCATTTACATCTGTGAAATATAAGAAATCAGATTTAAGAAGCCATCTCACAAATTAAATGAGTGATGCTTGTATTTATTTTAAAGAAACATATGAGCAAAGAACTGAAGAACATCCTAAAAATATGCAGTAAAAAATTAAAGTTATTCCTGCAAACAGTCCGTGGAAGCCCATAGGGTTGTAAGCCTTATGCACCAGCCGCCCTTTACCTCCAGGAAGATTACTGGTACTCATTACATGACACTGCATTGCATTCCATGGATCCAAATTTAGTCAAAATGACTGTAGGATGTCGAATATGTCATATAAATACAAAACATATGTATAGACCCAATGGAGTTCTCAAACAAGAGAAACCAAGAATACACAGTGACCACACACAAGGCTATTTAAAGATACATGTTATTTTCTAGACAATAGGTATTCATCAACAGAGTAGAATGAATGTGTATTTAAGTATAGTTTCAGTGCTATTTTAAATTGTGCCTTTTCATTCATAAGACCTTTGAGATCAGATGGCAGGTTATTAAAAATGTTGATCCCAGCATAGTATGCACTTTTCTGAAAGCATGAGAGGTTAGCAGTTGGTTTATGAAGAGTGTTTGTCTCTTATGTTAACATTGTGTACATCTGCATGTGTCTGAAAATGTTCTTTGTTATTTGTAACGAAGTTTATTAATGAATATATATATATTCACAAGGCAAAGTTAAGATCTGTAGTCTCTTAACCCTTTGACGTTGTCATTTAAATTCCGCGGCCGCGGCTCCTGCGGTAATATATTCAGCCGGCCATTTAAATTTTGCTCGAAAATGATTTATTCATCATTGTTCTTAAATTTTATGAGATAGGAACA